GAGTCCCACGTACAGCAACTAGAAGGATGTGAACCTATGACATGCAACTATCTACTGGGGCTTTGGGGGGAAAAAAAATGAATAAATAAAATCTTAAAAAAAAAAAAAAAAAAAAAACAGGTGAAATTAATTTTAATGATATATTTTGTTTAACCCAATATATTCAAAATATTACCATTTCAACATGAAATCAACATTAAAAATTAAGATATTTTCTATTCTTTTTTTGCATTAAGTCTTCAAAACCCCGTGTCTGTTTTACACTTACAACATGACTCCATCAGACCAGCCACATCTCGGGGGCTCAGCAGGCGCACGTGGCCAGTGCAGCTGCAGGCTTCCCACTCCTGGATGCCTCCTGAGTATGCGCCTCTCCCTCGTGGGAGAGCGTGAAGCCCTCTGGGGAAGTGTCAGGTGGAAGGCATTTTTATTCACCAACTTCAGTGATTTTCAGCCCCTCCTATAAGAGTCACTATAAGTCTGACCTGTGAGAAGCAGGAGATGGAGGAGCCCAGGGCTCTGGGGGTCTGCAGGCCACCCCCTTTCTTGCTCACTCTGTGGGCAGAGAGCATCTTGGCACCACTGCACACACACGCTTAGGCTCCTCTGCAACCTGCTAAACCCCAGCTGGAGTGTACAGTCTGTGCCAGGCCTGAGTTTCCCTTTATCTCACCTTCTTGCAGAGCAAGCAGGCTTCTAGAAACCGAAGTGGGGCAGGCTGGTGAGGCCCCAGCCTCGGGGGGAACCCCGAGGAAGGCACTGGGAGGTAAAGGGGACAGAAAGGGCCTTCTATAGAAGATAGAAGATCATGAACTTCAGGACCGGCCAATCGTGGTTCCCAACTCCTAGGGTTGTTTGGCCTCCCAGAGCCTGGTGCCCTCCTCTGTTAAATGGGGGAAACACCAGCACCGACTCCTTGGGGTTGTTAAGAGAACAGAATAAATGCTGTGGGCCCGGCATGAAGAACAGTGACCAGTCATAGCTTGCTGCCATCTGAGGAAGCTGTGTGACTCTCTGAATGAGCCACCCCCTCACTTGCTAACCGTTCTTCCTCCCTGGGACAGACACTGTCAACCCCCACCCAAATCCCCTCAGCCCACCACCAGGTCATCTCAGAGAGTTCCTGTAAGGCCAGTGGCTTCCTGCATCTCCTGCCTGAAAATGTTCCCTAGGAAACAGGATAGGCCTACAAGGGGCTGGGGGGGAAAGGGGGTGCCTAGGAGTTGAGGGTCCCAGGCTGGACCCCCGAGCAAGGAAAGATGGGATTTGAAAGAGCAATACCCCAGCTTCCTCACCCCTGGAGCAATTCTAGGGTACATTCTATACGTTTCTTCAGAGGGACCTCAGTGGGGACCTCAGCGGGGTTGAGCCCAGCTGCCCACAGGGGTAAACTGCTCATTCAGTCACTCTTACCGGCTCTTTCCCCCTCTATCTCCCCCCCCCACCCCTCACCACGCCTCCTGGGATCATCTCCCAGATAAACTGCTTACACAGTCAGCTAACTCAGATCAGAGTTCTTAACTACTACACCATTGACTCAACTTGCCAACTCTTCCCTAAGCAGCAGCCAGTCCCTAACATTTCCTCTCCGTCAGTGGAGAATTAACTGAGTCACAGATGAGGCAGCTCCAGCAGCTGTGTTTACTCCAACTGAAGGTACCAACAGCCAGTAATGCTCCCTGAGCCCCTTCCCTCTGTCTTAAAGGCCAGGGGAAAGCACCAGGCAAGGAGGAGAAGAAACAGGTCACGCCCTTACTGTCATCCTCAGATCGAGAGGAAAAGCCAAGAAACTCTCCAGGACAACCAGTGACAAATGACTGAATATGTGGTCCCCAATTTCCTCCAGCCCCTTGGGTCAGTGGTCTATGAGCCTTAGGACCCTCCACGATCCACAGGATCCCTCACCACCCCACAGGACCCTCCCCTATCGCACCACCCCCTAAGCGTTGTCTCCACCCCAACCTAAGGTGCCAGCCTGGCCACACAGGTCAGACTTTTACTCATTCACTGGTGCTAGGGACAAAAACAGAAGGCTTATAGCCAGACCAAGAGAGTACACCCTACAGGATTCCACTGCTATCACGTTCAAAACCAGGCAACAGTAATTGATGCTGTTAGAAGTCGAGATGGCGGTTCCTCGTGGAGGGAAGGAGTTAGTGACTGGGAGGGGCATAAAACAGAGGGCAGTGACTTCTGGGGGCTGGAAATATTCTGCTTCTTGGTCTGGGTGCTAGTTATATGGATGTGTTCACTTTGTAAGAATTTCTAAATTCATCGAACTACGCAGTTATGACTTGTGTGCTTTTCTGGATGTATGTTACATTTAAATGAAAAATTCTCTTCAGAAAAAGTTTTTAAAAAGGAAAAAAGAAAAGAAACCTTTTTGTATGCCAGCGCACTCTCCAAGGTGGATGCGTCCCAGGCCAGGGAGGCATCATGGCCAGGACTCTAAGAACAAAAAAGCATGATAACGGCTATAGAAGAAATCTGAGGGGCCGGCCAGGTGGCGCAAGCGGTTGAGTGCACACGCTCCGCTGCGGCGACCTGGGGTTCGCCGGTTTGGATCCCGGGCGCGCACCGACGCACCACTTGGCAAGCCATGCTGTGGCGGCATCCCATATAAAGTGGAGGAAGATGGGCATGGATGTTAGCCCAGGGCCAGTCTTCCTCACACACAAAAAAAAGAAATCTGACTACAGAGGCTCTGAGAAGGGCCCTGTGTGGGGGCTGATGGGCTGAAGGGAAGAGTGGACATCTTCCCATTCCTACCAGAATGCCAAGAGAAATCCTAAACTCTGGCTTCAGGGATCAGGGGAAGGATATACAGTATATTCTAGGAGGCAGTCGGCAGAGTGGGAGGCAACCAAGATGGAGTCAAATGGTTAGGAAGAGATGGGTTTAGATGAGATGAAATGGGGTGAGAGGTAATGGGACGGGATGGGATGGGATGTGAAGATGGGACGCAGACTGTGAGTGGCTTCACATGAAGCCCATCAAGATGGGAAGTTTGGATTTCATCCTGCCCAGAGTTGGAGGAGATTTTTTAGCAGGGCAGGGGCATCTTAGAATTCTCCTCAAGGGATCACTCTGGCAAAGGTGTGGACTGTGGGCCTCAAGGAGAAGCCTGGAGGCCAGATGTTTCTAAGATGAAACTAATGAGGCAGTAACCAATCAGAAGGGCTGGGAAAGGAGTCAGTGGGCACCCTCAGGAGTTTCTGAAATGAGCTGGTGAGGACCCAGATGTACACTTCCTAAGGAGGGAAACTGAGGAAGGGCCAACGGGAGGAAGACACTTGCCTGCCAGTCTCAAGTAGGAGGCTGGAGCAGCTCTACGTGAGCCGAGCATTTTCTTCTCTTTTTGAGCTCTCCGGAGGAATGTGATGCTATTCTGAGACAGGCTTACTTTCCAAGAAAGGAGCACAAATCACCACCGGTAGGACCACAGGAACCACATTCTAGCAGTCGGCTGGGACCTAGGGCTGAACATGATCTCCCGCAGCACTGTCAGGCATCAATTCTCAGGACCTTCCAGCCAGATTTGTCTTGAGCAGCACGAGAACGTGTATCCTTATCCCCCTCTCACAGGGGCGAAAACAGGCTAAGAGAGGGGGCTTGCCTGGCCCAAGGTGACACAGCTGGCAGGTGGCAGAGCCAGGACTCTGGCCCAAATGCCCCATCCGGCGACCTTTCCAGAGATACAACACGGCTCCCTGCTTCTGACTTGTTTGCTTGGTGGAAAAGGAACAGAACTCTTGGCCAGAAAGACAAAATTGAAAGCAAAGCACACGCCCTCTTCCTCACCTGTATGCGTGCGGACGTGCCTCTTGAGGTCGAAGGTGTCGTTGAAGCCCTTGCCGCAGAAGGTGCACAGGTGCCTCTTCACCTGGTTGTGGCACTTGAGGTGCCGGGTGAGCATGCGCTGCAGGCGGAAGCCCTTACCGCACAGGTCACAGCTGTGAACCACCGAGTCGCTGCATGTGCCTGTGGTGAACTGGGACAGAGAGAGGCCGTGAGGACCCAGTGCAGGTGGGCACGTCCAGGGTGCTTACTCCAAGAGGCCACCTCCCTGGGTCTCTAGGCTTGGCCTGGCTGGAGCTTCTGCCCCCTAAAAATTCCAAGCAGGTTTTGGCTTTGGGGAGGGTGAAACAACTGGCAGCTCCTTCCTACATTCATTCTCCCCTTCTTCCTTAGAACAGACCTCTGATTTCTAGCTGGGCACACCACCCCAGCTAAACGTCTCTATTTCCCAGCCTTTCACACGTCACAGCCATTGGACTGCCTGGCTGATGAAATACACTCTCTCTAAGAGGGAAGGATGGTGCCCTCTTCCTCCTTTACCCCTTCCTGCTGGCTAGAGTTCAACAGCTCTTTGCGGTGGAAGCCAGTACTAAGGATGAAAGAGCAGAAAGAAAGGAGGAGTCTAGGTCCTGATGATGTCATGGAGCCTGTCATACAGAGTCCCCAAAGACAGCCACCATCAGTTCCTTCCTTCCTGGGCCTGCATGCTGCTCCATCCATCAAGAGATGAAGACCATTTCCTCTCCCCTTGGATCTGGGCAAGGCCTGTGTCAGTTCCACATCTTAAGACATCTTGCAGCTTCCACATGTGGGAGTGGAAACCAGCTTTCCCTCTTCGGGGAAAAGTAAGAAGTCCAAGACCACCATGCTGTGAGGAAGCTCAAGCAGCCATGTGGAGAGAGAGGCCACACAGGGGAACACTGAGGTGCCAGATATGCATAAAGCCTCACTGGATCTTCCAGCCCAACCCACGGCTGCCACCAGCTGAGTGTGTGCCCCAGCCAATGCTGCCAGAGAGAACTGCCTAGCCCAGCCGAGCCCTAGTTCCTGACCCACAAAATCAGGAATAAATAAAATGATCATTTTGAAAAGTGATGGTCAGGATCCCACAGCTTCATTATCAGCAAACCATAACCAAATCCCAGGATGTCGACTCCCAAACTGGTTTTCTTTCAACTGCATTTGCCACCTCTAAGGAAGAAAACAGAATCTCTAACTATGTGATGGAAAAACAACAGATCTGATATATTCCTCAAAGGTTTCCTAGTTACCAAATCAGATCTTTTAGAAGATTGATCCAATTGCTTTGCCAAAATTCTATTCAGAAAAGAGCCTAAAAAACTTATTTTCAGACAAACATAATTAGCAAGAAGAATTGGTCCTTTCCTGGCTCAACACCATCCTACCCTCAAATACCTCCTCCTATCATCCACCCTGGGTACTGTCCTCCAATGAGACCCAGCTCAACTGTTCTCTATACCCCTCAGACCAGTGCCTCTCAAACCCCAGTGTGCACATGAATCCCCTGGGGTGTTGTTAAACGCGAGTTCTGATTCAAAAAGTCTGGTGGGGTCTAGATGCTGCATTTCTAACCAGCTCCCAGGAGATACCACTGTGGCGGTCCATGGACAGCACTTGAGACCTGAGGCTAGAGCAGCGGCCCTCACACAGTTCAGTACTTTATTCCATCTCATTCCAGAGGATTTCATTACACACATGTGTTTTCTCAGAGTTCATCTAGTTTTCTCAACTAAATGCCTTGCAGAAGTCAGCAAGTGCTTGTGCACATTCCTGCCCCCATGCCCCAAGCCCAGACTCAGGCCACTGCAGTCTGCAAGTGTTGATGGGCAATGGCTCACAGGTGGCAGGATGCAAAGAGACTCGAGGAGGGCGCAAGACCCCAGAACAGGGTTTTCCATTCAGCCTCCTCCACTACTCCATTCTCATCTGCTTGGAGCTTGATTAGCCTCAGCTGACACTGACAAGTGCCAGGTCTGCGACAGGCCCTGCGCACAGAGCTGGAGGAAGTACAGTCACCAGGACTGCTTGTCCCCAAGAAGCTGCCAGTCTAGTGGGGGAGCAGACCAGTCACCAGGCCACTGACATCTGGGAAGCCTGGGCGCAATGGGCACCTCAGAGGGGCACCTCCCCCAGATGTGGAGCGTGAGGGAAGGTGCTTGCAGAGGAAGTGAACTCCTCCAGCAGGCAAAGATGAGGAGGAAGAGATGGGGAATGCAAAGAACATTCCAGGAGACGGCAGTGGGAAATGGAGGAACTGGGTGTGGTTCCTCATGGCTAGCCTGAGCCCCAGGAGAGCAGTTAATGAAGAGAGCTGTGGTGGCAGAGATGAGCAGGGTCCCCCTTAGGACTCTACCTCGGGGGCCCTAAAGGATCTCAACTCTATTCAGAGGGCAAGGGGGGGCCGTTGGAAGACACAGGAGGACAGCCGCAGGGGTTGAGTTTGATGAGCCAGTTGGGTAGTCGTCCTGGGTCCCCAATTGCCTCATACCCCACCTCTGCCCTGTGACCCCCAAAGGGGGTAGGGCCTGGCACTCATTCTGAGGGAGACTCAGCTGTGCCCAGGCTTTCCTATTCCTTTTGCCAGGACAGGTCACTGTCTAATCCTTGTCCAGCAGTCCCCATTCTCGTCATTGCCTCCCTTGAAGGGGTGTGAAAAGACTAAATATGGCCCAAGTCTTGGCAAACCGAGTATTTCAAGCTTCTCAAGGCCAAGTCGACACAGGATAAAGGTCATCTGAGAGGTAGTGAGGGGCTAACAAAGCAGAACGTAGATAATTGACCCTGGTAATTCCAATTAAAATTGTGTAGACAGCTAGAACTGTCTTTTGAAAGTCCTGCAGAGAGCCAGCCCTGATGGCCCAGTGGTTAAAAGTTCGGTGCTCTCACCGCTTCAGTGGCCTGGGTTCGGTTCCCAGTTGTGGAGCCACACCACTTGGCTGTCAGTAGCCATGCTCTGGCAGCGGCTCACATAGAAGAACTAGAAGGACTTACAACTAGAATATACAACTATGCACTGGGGCTTTGGGGAGAAAACAAAAAAAGAGGAAGATTGGCAACAGATGTTAGCTCAGGGTGAATCTTGCCCAGCACACACACACAAAAAAAAGGACGTCCTGCAGAATGTGCCCAAGGACTCACCAACCATAGGTCATACCTGAACTCTTGTTTACTTCAATCCTTTTGGTAAATTCCTATTTTTATTTTATTTTATTTTTTTTGCGAGGAAGATCAGCCCTGAGCTAACATCCATGCTAATCCTCCTCTTTTTGCTGAGGAAAACCGGCTCTGAGCTAACATCTATTGCCAATCCTCCTTTTTTTTTTTCCCCCAAAGCCCCAGTAGATAGTTGTATGTCATAGTTGCACATCCTTCTAGTTGCTGTATGTGGGACGTGGCCTCAGCATGGCTGGAGAAGCGGTGCGTCGGTGCGCGCCCAGGATCCGAACCCGGGCTGCCAGTAGCGGAGCGCACACACTTAACCGCTAAGCCACGAGGCCAGCCCAATAAATTCCTATTTTCAAAATGCTCTGCATGTGATATGGTTACCTTCTATCTGTTCCAGTCCAGGACGAAAATCTCAAATCACTGGCATTATTTTGTTTGAAAAGAATAAAATCTTGAAGGGCAGAGAGGGAAGGGAGATTAGTGACAATTTAAGGGAGTGCAGGGCCATGGATCATCTGACCAAGACACAGAACACTTTTTAACACAGGGGAGAAAATGAGAATGGGGGTAAGGGATTGGAGACTGAGAGCACTCCATTTCCAGGGGGACCTTTCCTCTGGTTTCTTAGAGCAAAAAGAGAAGTTCTTCAAGTATGCCTCAGCAAAGGCAATTTTTCCATTTCTCCACCTTTACCTACATTCACATTTCACAGCATGGAAAACTGAGTCAGCACAAAGTGGCTCATTTAGGGAATTCCCCTAAGGTGCACCCTCCAATCCATGAAGTGCTGCTTGCCACCTATATACATCTATGACCAATCCAGCCCCCAGACATTAACAAATTATATTCGAAGCCTTAAGAGAGCCTTGTTGAAAGAAGATGTAAGGTTAACTAACTGGCCCAACAGCATGGCTGATGAAGCCAGCTTCTGGCAGACTATTTCACTTCTCAGAAAGGAAAGGATATTTGTTGGATAAATTCCTAAACGTGATATTTAGCCCAGAGTGTATTTCACATATCACATGCCTTGAAATTTGGCCTGTAATAGCAAACGATTCGAAACTACCTAGATGTCCGTCAACAGGGACTTGTTACAAAACGATGGTAGAACCATATAACGAAAGCAACTAGAATAAGGAAAGAGAATCAACTGCCAGCCACATGAGTGAGCCCTCTTGGATGTCCAGCCCAGTCGAGCCCCCAGAAGACTCTGGCCTCTGCTGTCACGTGACTGCAACCGTAAGAGAAACCCCAGGCAAGAACCGCCTGGCTGAGCCCAGCCATTCCACAGAATGAGAAGACGTAATAGTAAATTATTTTAAGCTCCTAAATCTGTGGTTATTTGTGATGCAGCACTAGATTAACTAAAACAGTAACAGATGTATCACATTCCCTCCAGAACACCAGATCTGCCACATTTCTGAGTGTTCTCTCCCAGGATGGGCTGCATGGTGCAGAAGACACATCTGATTTCCTGCCATGACGTCCCATGAGCCAGCAGACAGGGCAATCCCTCCTCGGATCACGCGTCTGCTCACGGGGCCATCTTTATTATGTTCACACAGGTTTCTACCTAACACTCCACCTTCTAAAAGTTCAAAATACGGTTAACCAATCTTACCTTGTTACTCTACTCTGCAGGTAATAGAACACAACTAGTCACATCTTAGACATCTCAATTACAAAATGAGTGGAATGGAGAGACGAGAAATGCTGAGGATCAAATAAAAACCTAGCCCTGGCTGCCTGTGTGATGTCACTGAATATTGTAGGCCACAATTTCCCACATGTCAATAATAAAATGGTATTAGATGTTCTCTTTTCCTAAGTTAAAATTCTGCTCCAACACTTACAGTCTGTGGGATGTAGGCAAGTTACTCAACCTCCCTAAGCCTTAATTTCATCACCAGTAAAACGTGGATATAACAATATTTGCCTCTTGGGATTGTTAAGGAATTAAATAAGAAAATCTACTTAAAAAGGATCTGGTGGGGCCGGCCCAGTGGC